TTCAAAGATGTTCCTGAGAGAGTTTGTACCTCAGTCCATTCTAGATGCATGGCACGCGGAGTTTGAGCAGTTGTGTTAGGGCACTATGTCAGTGTCAGAGTATGCCGTTTGATTCAGAGATTTGGCCAGACATGCACCTGCTTTGGTCGCTACAGTTAGAGAGCATGTCCGTATATTCATTGAGGGGCTCAGGCATGATATTCGATTCAGCATGGCTCAAGAGTTAGAGTCAGATGTTTCATTTTAGCAGGTGGTAGGGATCGCTCGCCGAGTAGAGGGCATGTTGGATCAGGAGAGAGATAACAGGCGGGGCCATGAGAGAGAGGACATGCGAGGTCAGGAGAGAGAGGATAGGGAGGCTAGGAAGCCGCATAGACTGGAGAGATCTACTGGTCCTTATTTTGGAGGCAGGGTACGGCATGGTAGAGGTTTTGTGGGTCAGCCAGTTCAGTTTGCACTTTAGGCTTCGCACGGTGTTTCAGGTACTCATGGGTCTCAGAGTACTCGTACCGCAAAGTTCCTACAGTCATGTCAGCAGAGGGGTTGCTTTGAGTGTGGAGATACCAGCCACATGGTGAGAGATTATCCCAAACTCCAGACAGATGTGTCACAGCGGGGTATTCATGCGAGTAGAGGGCGCGCAAGAGGGAAAGGCCTGGCCCGTTGATATGTTTAATATAGTAGGCTTGAGGCTGCTGCGCCAGATGATGTCATACAGGTATGCTATTGATTTGTTACCGAGAGGCACCATTAGTATTTTGTTTCAGTTCTGCTTATCGGGGTGAGTCTCCACCTATGGGTGAGTTCATGACTTAGTATTCTGTATTTGTGTTTGCCCCTGTTGGAAGATTCTGTGAGTGGTAGCCTTTGTCTATCATTTGTTTTTATCCATTATTGAGAGTTTTGAGGCTAGAAGTGAATTCTTGTTGTCCATTATGGTAGGCTTGATGTGATTCCTGAGTAATTTGGTTAAGATTGTGATTTGATACTCTACCGGAGTGAGAGTTTAGTAAGTGTTGTGATTTTATTGGCAGAATTGAGTTAGTGGAAGATTTCCATTAGTATGATGTGTATTCGACCTGTGATTCAGATTTGAGAGTGAGACCCTCGCGATTCCATGTGATTTGATATTTTTGAGACTGCATGCGTTCCGCGGTGGAAGTTATATCAGGATGAGATCTTTGTGATTTGTTCATATACTTTAATTTTTCCTTTTAAATTGATTCGTAGGATGGTACTGATAGAGAGTTGTGCCTGTCGGGCTTGTTTGATACTTCTCTTATGTGTTTCTCCTTATATGTTCAGTCATTTTCGTTCTGTGCTTCCTGAGTTTGAGCTTGCGGGGTATGTGCCCGGAGGCGTTAGTTGTGACTTGTTGATCTGGGCGTATAGTTATGAGGTCTTTGTGTTTCTTGTATCATTGTCAGCATTGTGGAAGTTTGAAACAGGGTTCTAACGGATAAGAGGCTAATTGTCGGTACTGGATTTGATTACGGGCAGCTATTGTGATCAGAATTGTTATTATGGGCCTATGTGTGATGTGTCATGTAGTGTGGTTATACTATGTGGGTGTAGGCATAAGTGGTTGCACCTAGTTGGGACTGATACCGGGTGTGGATTTAGAATCAGGTCTTTTGAAGACGAGCGGATGGTGGAAATGTTGACTCTAAGGCTTATTGATGTTAGTGGAAGGGATAAATTACAGTTAAGATGGTGTCGTCGGGCTTATGTGGATTGGGGTGACGTGGGGTCACCCGCGGGTGTATTTTGGATGTGTGCATTTAGTGATTTGACGTCTTCGAGGCGATTCTTGGCACGTTTGAGGACAAACGGTTGTTTAAGAATGGGAGGATGTAACGACCCGGCCGGTCGTTTTGAGAATTTAAGTCCCGTTTGGCGGCATAAAGTCTTGAGCAGTTTCATATTATGTGTATTGACTTACGTGCGTGGTCGAGTTCAGTTACCGGATGATTCGGAGTCAAATCGGTAAAAGGATTCTAGTTTTGGAAGTTTAAGCAGTAAGAGTTGACCAGAATTTGACTTTTGTATAAACGGCTCCGGAATGGGTTTTGGATTATTTCATCAGCCTCGTATGGCGATTTTGGACTTAGGCGTGCGTCCGGATTTGGATTTGGAGGTGCGTAGGGTGATTTGAAGCATTTCGGCGAAAGTTGGAAAAGTTGAAGTTTGGAAGGTAGAGAGGTTTGACCAATAGTTGACTTTGGTGATATCAGGGTCGGAATGCGATTCCGAGAGTTGGAACAGCTCCGTTATGTTATTTGATACTTGCCTACAAAATTTGACATTATTCCGAGTTGATTTGATAGGTTTCGGCACGAGTTTTAGAAGTTGGAAGATTTGAAAATTCATAAGTTTGATTCTTGGTGCGATTCGTAGTTTCGACGTTGTTTGATGTAATTTAAGACATCGAGCGAGTTCGTGTTAGGTTATAGAACGTGTTGGTGTCTTTATACGGGGTCCCGGGGGCCTCGGGTGAGTTTCGGATAGGCTACGGATCATTTCTTCAGGTTTTGAATTGCTAGTTTCTAGTGTCTGATGTCCTTCTTCGCGATCGCGAAGTGCCTTTCGCGTTCGCGTAGCGTTCTGCTGACCTGCCACATTTTCCTTCTTCGCGTTCGCGTAGTATGTCTCGCGATCGCGTAGCTCTGCACGTCCCCCTCTTCGCGTTCGCATCCTCTTTTCCGTGTTCACGTAGTAAAAACCAGGCTCTGTGCACTGGTGGTCATTTACACTTCGCGTTCGCGTAGTTTCCTGTCCCTTGTTCTTCGCGTTCGCGTTCCCTCACTCGCGTTCGCGAAGGGCCTTCTTGGCAGCCCTCATTTTTCTTCTTCGCGAACACGATCCTTCTTCCGCGTTCGCGATGTATAATCATCTGGGCAGCAGAATATATTTTTCAAATCGAGAGTTAGGCCATTTTTATCATATCTTGACTTGTGCAGCTCGGTTTTGAGCGATTCTTTGTGGGTTTTTTAAGAAAATCGATTGGGTAAGTGTTCTTTATCTAGAATCTATTATATTTCATGATTTTATTTTTATTTTTATCATTTAATTTGTGTTTTGAGTTGAGAAAAATGAAGGTTTTTGAAGAAAATTTTCAAAATGAAAAATCATGATTTGATGGACGAATTGGTATCGGAAATTGATAATTTTAGTATGGTTGAACTCGTATCGGAATGGGTTTTCGGGTTTAGGGAATTGTAAATTTTATAGAGATTATTATTTCAAAAATTGTTAGATGTTATTTAATTATTATTTTTATTCAGTAAATGTTAGGCTTACCTAGTCCCTAAGATTAGGTGCCATCACGATACCCAACGGAGAAAAAATTAGGTCATGACAAGTTCTCTTTTGATTATTGACTTTTATTTTCACCTCCTTTTGTGTTATGATTAATCAAACTTTCACACTTGCTTGGACTTCGTTTTATAAGTCTTTAATTGTTTGTGTACTTTTTTCCGTCAAATAACTAAGAAAAACTCTCCTTCACTCTTATGTTCCAATTATATAATATAACTTTTTTTTTAATTCAATAAAAGATACCCTCTTCCCGTCTTTACTCTTATGCATTAATTCCTTAGTATGGGTTTGTTAAGTATCATGAATCGTCTTTGGTTTCACCAAATTATTCTCTTTTCAGAACCCCCTTCAGTTTTATTTCCTAAAAACCAATGTCAAACAACTTTAATTCCACATGAAAAATTCTCACCAGTTGAATTAGAAAGCACTCTTCTACATGTAACAAATCCTCTCATAGTTAGGCTAGTATTCTCTATACCCCTAACCTTTTAGTGGTTGCTTGTGCTTTGTTTGGTTCACGAACAGCAGACAGAAGCATCACTCAACCAAAAAAACAATCCCTAGAAAGTCATGATTGTCATCAACAAGAAGATAGGTGCGTCGTGCAACAGCAACTACTACTAAATGTAAATAACAAATATATATAACTCCTTTAACTTGATTTAAGCTTAACAAATTTGAATGAGTTATTCATTCAAACAAAGGATTAAACTATAAAATCCACATCCGTATTATTTAGCAATGATAGAACTAACGGAGAAAAAGAACTGATTTTAGAAACGAGAATCTAACAACTAAAATTACAGGAAAAAAACAACTTGGTGTTTGGGAAGTATCTTGAAGCCAGCAAGAAGAAAAAGCAAGCATGGACTCTTAAAAGGTTCATTGGGACACATAAGCATGGTAGATGTCTTTGCATTAGAAGGATTTATAAAAATAAAACTTATTTTATCTTGCTACACGTGTATTTTGTTTCTCCCAAAACACACACGCAAGTATATGTGGTCGACAAGTAATATAAGATTGTAAGTCCAAATATCGTACCCACAGGGACTTGTGATTAACTATCAACTAAATTAAACCCAAACAATTAATCCATTCAAACGATTCCTAAGATGTGATTATTTAACTAAACAAATCTAGAGTAGTAAACTAAGCGATTAAAGAAAATAAGCTGGCAATATTAGAGACGAATTCAATGGGAGAAAATATTCCAGAATTATGGGTTAGCTAACAAACCCATTGAGTTTTTCACTTAAATCATCTTATTAATTTATCTGGTTTATTGATTGACATGATTAATATTGCTCGTAGCCTTCTTCCGAAGTACTACTCGCCTATTCAAGCTAACCTAACGCCTATATTCCTATGGAATTAGAATTAACAAGAACGCATTAATAATTCCCGTATAATAACCAAGCAAGGCGATTAGGTATATTCCTATCCTAACCGCAAATCCGTTTTCGATACTCAAGTTCAAGATCTCGCTCTACTCAATCTTATATATGCAATTTAGAATTCTCTCTCCCGAGTTCAATACTAGATTCGTAGATAATATTCAATTGGTGATCAAGCAATCAAATAATTAAGCGCAAGATTGAATAAATAAACCAATATGATAAAATAATAAGAACAATTTCAAATTCAAACTACAATGTTCATGTAGCACCCAAAACTCTAGAACTAAGAAACTATGAAATTAAAGGAAGAGAAGAGAAGAAAAACTAGTTAGGAATCTCCTCCAAGCGTGGTGTGTGTTCCTCCATATGAATTCTCTTTCAAAGTATATTAGATATCCTCCAAAATAGGTTTAGACTTGCTTTTATACAAGTTTGGGGGAGGGTCTCGGACCGAAATAACCTTGTCCCAAGCGAAGTAGGAGATGTTTCCCATCACCTGCACCCAGGGTAGCGTGGGGCACTAGCCCTGGCACTGAAAAAATAAACATTCTGGAAATTGGGGCCCTGGAAATCGACATTTTTAACTTTTCTCCTTTTTCGCTCTAATCTATCACATTTCGCCCCCTATTGCCTTTGGATGATTCCTACATATAAAAACACCATAAATAAGTATAAATCAATACATTTTACATTCGAAATTTACGAAACACGAGTAAAATATGAGGCGATATACATATAAATATATATACTTTAAGCCAAATATCATATTTCAATTAAATAAGAGTTTTCCTCAAGATTATGACTTGTAATTCATAAAGTGAGACACTTCAGGCTGCTAACTTAGGTTTGGCATTTTGGACATGAGATAGAATTCTAAACTTTAATTCAAAAACAACGACACAACCTATGAACATGCTACGTGAGACATAAGAAAACACAAATTAAATTAACATCTACATTACTGACTTACGGTAGGTGAACTTCACAAAAACTAACTTATTATTCCAGCTGGGAGAGTTTAATATTTAAACGACTAGATTTAAAATTGATCATTTCTTTTCTTAACAAGTAGCAAATCTTAAAAAAACATTCTCCTAGCATAGCAACTATTAAGTAACACTTTCGTGATTTAAAGTGCATAAGGCGAAACTAGAACTAACAGCAATTTAGAACAGAATCCAAGTCACAAATATATCTGGAAAAAAATTAACATAGTCGAATCAATGGAGCATTAACACGGAGATATCTCGAAAGCTAACGAACCGACTAGTTCACATCCACCTAATCCACAGTTCAAATAGAATTACTTTACACTTAAATTAACAGGATTTTGTTTAAGTATAGTATGCTATGAATAACTTATAACAATCAAAAGTAAACATATAACATTAGGGAAAATAGAGGAATCAATTCAATCAGTTTTCCTCCAATTCAACAGCATCCAAAAATCACAAATCACAACATAGCAAACACACACAAAATATTATCTCTACAAATCACAAACTGCCATAGTTGGACATCACAAATCACAAATCGGCTTAGGCTCAAGTGTTTGGGTATCTGGTAAGTAGAATACTTTGACGATGAAGATAAGAAAGTGAAGGAGAATGATGCCAGTAACAATCTCGAAACCTACATAAAAAGAGATGATGGAGAGTTAAACAATAACGATGTCTCAATAACTTTGTTAAGCAACAGTAAAGAAAATTAGACATTTGACTAGTTTCCTCTTTGTATGCTTAAATCTTTACCTTATAAAAAATATATGTTATGAGAAGAATGTCAAACAAATATTTTTAATAGAAGATATACTCTCCAGAAACCCGATATAGAAAAAAGTTGTAGATATGCTCAAACTGATCATCTAAAAACCTTTCCTTCAAACAGTAAAGCTAAAACCAACATATTATTTTAGTAGAATGCAACATTTTTCTATTCGAAGATTGCTAAATTTAAAAGTAGGATCACTGCTTATACAGAAATATAAGAAAATCTCTTATACCAGGATTTAGCAATATATGTCATAGAGGTTTCTAACTTGTAATTAACTGAATCTAAAATTTCAAGAAATTGCAATCCCAGTTTCTCAGCACAAAAATGTTAAGAGCTAGATATGAAGCACATCAGATGTGCTAAGTATAGTTTAAACTTTAAAGTGAATAAGCAGTTGAAAACTTTGCACATCAAATAAACGACAGGGACTATCAAGAACGGAAAAATTTCCCTAATGCATATCCGTAATCCATATCAAGCACTCACTCGGATGATTTCAACAAATCAAAAAGAAACAAAATGACAGAATCATCAAATAGATTTAACAAAATGTCTTAATATATATTTGTATTTTGAGCAGCAACGACCCAAAAAATTAGTATTGCAGCGACTTGGAATAAAACTTAGCAGCGATTGAGATGGTGCTGGCGATTATACTTCGATAATCGAAACCCTAGACCCAGCCAATAGTAATTTTTCATCAACTCCTAACCCACCCAATCGAACCTTAAAAATAGAGACAGAAACTGACCGGCGATTGTGAAGGTGTCTGCGACTGTGATAGAGCCGACGATTTTAGTTTCCGGTTGAGATATAGGGAGATAGAGATTCTTGGTGCCGATTTCAAGCATACACTGTTTGACCGATTTCAAGGGTATACTATTTGGCCAATTTAGCGTATTTCGTTGAAGGTAGCGGGAGAGAATTTAGAGGGAAAAATAAAACTGGAAGCAATACCAAAAAGAAAAATATGTTATAAAATAAAGAAAGTAAAATAAAGACAAGTATAGACAGAAACTGATATATTATTCAAACTTCAAACTTATGTACATAATGAACTGAATTCTCCTCTTTTTATAAAAGAAAGGAAGCTATTGTGTAAGCTGCTACTTCAAGCTGCTGTGTAAGCTGCTTGTAAGCTGCTGCTTCAAGCTGCTGAATAAGCTGCTGCTCTAAACTGTTGTGTCAGATATAGATAATCTTCTATCATGGGTAATATTTATTCATAACGGAGTACCGAAAGGATAAGCTTCTTTAAGAGGCTTATTTCCAATAAAGTACTAAATAGATAAATGTATTTATGGCAGAGTCTCATATGGATAAACTTCTTCAGGAAGTTTATTTACAACGGAGTACTAAATGAACATCCATAATATAATATATTCATAACACTCCCCCTTGGATGTTCATTAAAAGATAATGTGCCTCGTTAAAACCTTACTAGGAAAAACCCCGTGGGAAAAAATCCTAGTGAAGGAAAAAGAGTACACATATTTAGTAATACGCATTGCTA